GCACACCACCGCCTGGCTAAGTTTTGTATTTTGTATTTAAGAACTTCTGACCTCAGGTGATCCGCCCGCCTTGGCCTCCCAAAGTGCTGGGATTACAGGCGTGAGTCCCTGCACCTGGCCAGGGTTTTACTTTTTAAACACCTTAGATTTTTTTTTTTTAATCATATACATTAAAAGGTAGCATTATATTTCAATGTTCCAGAAAATGTATTTTCTGAAAAAGAGCTACATTTATGTCCTTATTTATTGGCCATGAGGTTCAGAGCCTCTCATTGGGGAAGTCTGTGGCGTGCTGACCGGTGCTGGCTGAGTGGGAACTGCTAGTTCACAGCCAGGTGTGGGACGTTTCAGCTCTTTGCTTTGCAGTTTCCTCTTTTGTAAAGTAGAAATAGTAACAGTCTGCCTCACAGAGCTGGCTTCAGGAGAAATCAGTTAAGGTACAGAATGTACTTGGAATGATGTCTGACTGTAAGTAAACGTTAGCATAAAACAGGCTATCATATGTGGATCCCCCATCCCACCCCATAATTCATGCAGCTGATATAATCGGACAACCTTGAGCAGGCAAGATTTGCCAGAACGTGGTTGATTCAGACCACCAGGGCTTCACAGATCAGCGGGTATTTTCCCAAGTTCTAACTGGGTTTGAGACCTTGGTGATTTTTCTTTCTTCTTAGACTTTCTTTAGCTTCTCCATTACTTTCTCCATGAATAGCGGAGGGGGCGTGTGTGTGGGAGGGGGTCTCCTGCACTCACGCCACTTTTTGCCTGGTTGTAGATGGAGTTTGTTACGAATGTCTGAATCTTGGTAGTTTTGTTGTAAGCATATTGATAGTCTCATCTTCCTGGGCGTTGCTAAGCTTTCCAGCCTCAGTTTCCATCTATGTAAAATAAGGTTTTTGCACCCAAGGGTAAAAAAGTCTTTAATGCTTTTCCCAGCTGTAATTATCACCCTGCCGCTCATCCTTTTTTTTTTTTTTTTTTTTTTTTTTTTTGAGACAAAGTCTGGCTCTGTTGCCCAGGTTGGAGTGCAGTGATGTAATCTGGGTTCACTGCAACTTCCACCTCCGGGGCTCAAGCTATCCTCTTGCCTTAGCGCCTTCCAAGTAGCTGGGACTACAGGTTCATGCCACCACACCTGGCTAATTTTTGTAGAGACAGGGTTTCACCATATTGCCTAGGCTGGTCTTGAACTCCTGAGCTCAAGCAATCAGCCCGCCTCCGCCTCCCAAAGTACTGGGATTATAGGTGTGAGCCACCGTGCTTGAACCCTTTTTTCCTTTTGTACTGAGAGCTTGCATAATTAGTTCCAACGTACAACTAAGTTTTCATACCATCTTAATTGTAAATTTTATACAAGTTCAACAGGACTCAATTATTCACAAAAGCTAATGTGTAACAACTTGATCTTTTTACTTGGAATCTTCTCTTCTAAAATTTGATTTATCCTGAAGTGTCTGCTTGACTTATATTCCTGTGTTGCTGCTGGCTTTTTCCATGTGCATTTTTTGCAAGCTGCACTTTTTACTTCAGTCTCGTTGTTAAGTCTTGCAGAATTGGCTAGAGGCCTCCTGCCATGAATAAGCTGAAGCTCCACAGTGGCTTCTGTGAGGTCTTAGAGTCAGATGAGTTTCACAGTGTTCGGGTTTGTGGTCTAGTGTGGCCCCGTGTTCTGGGTAACACATGTGATGCAGTGCTGTGTGCACACCATGTCCTGGATAACATTCAGGATGCAGTGCACATACTGTGTTCAAGTTAACAGTCCTGGTGGCATCTGAAGTAGCACCCTAAAATCAAAGGACACATCCTGCAGAGAAGCAAGTGAAGTCTAAAAACTGAGTCAGGGTAGTGACGATCAATAGCGTTATGCTAGTTCAGGTTATGTTTTGTTGCCGAGTGAATTACAAAAAACTGCCAGGTTTCAAGCTTTTATGGGTTTCACGAATGCAGGGGAGGGATGGTGGGTCTGCGTTTCTCTTGAGCATCCTTGGGAGAAAGGTGCTTCGTGGCTCAGTGGCTTCCCTTCAGTGAGGACCTCCCTGGCTGCCCTCCTAGCTTGCCCTGCCTCTGCTTCCCTTCCTCTCCCCTCCTCCCCTTCTCCTATTCATGTTCACTGCCACTCAGCACTGGACACCACCACGTGTGCCTTCTTAGTGTAGGGGTTTACCGCCTTCCTCACAGGAGTGTGCGCAGCAGCAGGGCAGGCAGTGTTCCTCGTCCCACAGGCACTCAATGCTGAATGAATGAATGAAGGGATGGATGGGTGGATGAATTTTTTCTGTAACTTTAAAAAAGTTCTTGAAAAATAAGTTTCTTGTGTTTTAACAGTGACAACCATGAGTGGAAAAAGCTAATTATGGTTCAGCACTGGCCTGAGACAGTATGCGAGGTGAGTGTTTCTCCCTTGACGGGCCCTGGGACCTGAGGAGCCCTGTGAAGAGGGGTTTGCGTGCACGTGCCCGTCCAGGGCACCCACGCTGCTGGTGCAGGAGGTGGGCACTGCTCTGGTGGGTGGGCAGTGTCTCCTGCAGGGACTGCCCCCAGGAGGGCTGTGTGTGAGCTTCCCAGGGCTGCAGTAACAAAGTGCCACAAGCTGGGTGGCTAAGAGCCTCAGGAATTTATTCTCACAGTTCTGAAAGGGGAAGTCTCAACCTAGGGGTCAGAAGGGTTGGTTCCTCCTGGAGGGCTCTGAGAGAGTTTGTTCTGTTTCTTTGCTAGCTTCTAGTAAGGACCCGTGGTCCTCTGCGTTCCTGGGTGACCCATCACCCCAATCTCTGCCTCTCCTTCACAGTGTGCTCTCCACTTTGTGTCTCTGTGTCTCTTCTGATGAAGACACCAGTAACTGGATTTAGGGCCCACCCTAATCTGGTATCACCTCATCTTAACTTGATGACATCTGCAAAGACCCTGTGTCCATGTAGGGTCATGTTCACAGATGGGAGGAGGGGTTAGGACGGGGATATATCTTTTGGGAGGACAGAGTTCAACCCACAACAAGCCTCAGTTTGACTCCTCCCTCTGTGGGTGGCAAGCCACCAAGGTGCCAAGGCAAGAGACCAAGGGCACAAGCTGTTCCAGTATAATAAAATATATAAAACAAGAATAGCTATACTAGAAATAGATTATAGATATGATGATATATGAATATTGTTAATCATCAGTTTGTAGCATTACTCTTTATTCCAATATTATAATAATCCTTGCTCTACAATTATAACCTAAGAAAAACCAGGCCATACAGAGATAGGAGCTGAAGGGGCACGGTGAGAAGTGACCAGAAGACAAGTGTGAGCCCTCTGTCATGCCCATACATGGCCACTAGATGGCTCCTTGGTCTAGCGGTAACGCCAGTGCCTGGGAAGGAAACCGTTTCTTAGCAGACCTTGGTCTAGCAGTAGCGTGAGTGCCTAGGGAAGGCACTCATTACTTAGCAGACTGGGAAAGGGAGTCTCCCTTTCCTGGGGGAAGTTAGAGAAGACTCTGCTCCACCACCTCTTGTGGAAGGCCAGACATCAGTCAGGCCCGCCCACAGCCATCCGGAGGCCTAACCATCTCCCCATGATGCTGTGCTTCAGCGGTCACACTCCTGTTTCACTTTCATGTTCCACCCTGTACACCTGGCTCTGCCTTCTAAATAGCAGTAGCAGAATTAGTGAAAGTACTAAAAGTCTTTGAAATGCATAGATGAAATAATGGTGTAAGGTGCTCTCTCTCTCTCCCCCTGTGCCTCGGCTGCCAAACAGGGAAGGGCCCCCTGTCCAGTGGACACGTGACTCACGTGACCTTATCAATCATTGGAGATGACTCACACTCCTTACCCTGCCCCTTTTGCCTTGTATCCAATAAATAACAGCTCAGCCAGGCATTCGGGACCACTGCTGGTCTCCATGTCTTGGTGGTAGTGGTTCCCCGGGCCCAGCTGTCTTTTCTTCTATCTCTTTGTCTTGTGTCTTTATTTCTACAATCTCTCACCTCCGCACAAGAGGAGAAAAACCCACAGACCCTGTAGGGCTGGTCCCTACATCCCTCCATGTATTGGACATTATTGAACATCTTATTAACATGTCCTGTGAGTGAAGAGGACCCAAGAGCATCCCTGCCTCCTTTTGCTGTGCTTGGCACCCATGGCACCCACGGCCCTCCAGGCTGGCCCCTCTTCATCTGGCTCCGTTTTGCTCCATGCGCCACATCCCTTCAATGTCCCGTCAGTGTCCGGGCCCTTCTCCTTGGAGCACCCAGAGCCAGGACGCTGCCTGGATCTGCCCCTCAGGGCCTGCCCTGCTCAGTGTATCAAGCCGACCCTGGGGTGCCTCGCACACTTCTACAGTGTTTCATCGTATTGCTGAGCTAGCTCCACATTCTGTCAGGAGCACGCAGGCTTTATGTTTTGCCTCTAGCACTAAGTGTTAATGATTTTCTCTGCTACTTCCTCACTGATTTTTCTGATGACAAATGAAAATGAAATTTTGCTTATCTGGCTCAAATTATGCTCTTGCTCATTTCTATACATGAGATTGCCCCGTTTTCAGTTTTGCGGACTTAACGTTGCGCTCCTGGTGCTGTTTCCTTGCCTTGGGGTAGGGGCAGTGGACAGGAGGAGCCGGAAGCTGCTTGGCACCAACTTTCAGTTGTTGGGAGTGTGGCTGGCGTTCTGAGATATAGTGAGGGATTCCTGGAGTCCTTGGTTCCTACGGAAGGAAGGACCACCAAGGACCATGGAGGAGGAGCTCGAACTTAAGCACTGTCTTTGACCCACACTGAAGGATCTGCCTCCAGGGCCTGAGACCCGGCTACTCTGCATTCAGGGAGGCACTTACATGACAAAATATGGGTGTGTCCCTGCACACTAATGTAAATATGCGTGGAGGCACATCTTTGCCTTGAGGCTTTAGAAAAAGATTTTTTTTTTAATCTGTAGCAAAATGTCCTTGTTAGGGAGTGTATTTCCCACCAGGCAGCCATGGTGAAGGGTTCTGTTTCAGCCCAGGTGTCCTCCTAGGCAGTGAGGGCCGTCCCTGGTGCCCTGTCTGATGAGATGTTTGTGTCAAAGGTGCTCGGGTTGTCTGGGGTTCCCGGTGTCCTGGGCTCTCCCACAGCTCCACGCAGGCAGGCCTGGGAACCGAGTGCTGTGCAGAGCCCTCAGAGCCCCGTGTGGTGCAGGCTTTGCTCTCCGCAGTGCCCCCAGGAAAGGAGCCCAGCTTCTGGCTTTGAACCGGGTTCCCTGAGGGATGGAGTTGGGCGGCAGAGGTGAAGTTACAGGTTTTGGCCTCTGACCCTCTTCCTCTAGCACTGAGCAGTAAGGACTTTCTCTTCTACTTCCTCAACTGATTTTTCTGTTGACAAATGAAAATGCAGTTTCGCTTATCTGGCTCAAATTATGCCCTTGATCGTTTCTTTTTTTTTTGAGAAGGAGTCTCGGTCTATCGCCCAGGCTGGAGTGCAGTGGTGCGATCTCGGCTCACTGCAACCGCCGCCTCCTGGGTTCAAGCCATTCTCCTGCCTCAGCCTCCTAAGTAGCTGGAACTATAGGAGCCCACCACCATGCCCAACTAATTTTTGTATTTTTAGTAGAGACGGGGTTTCATCATGTCAGCGAGGCTGGTCTTGAACTCCTGACCTCAAGTGATCCACCTACCGTGGCCTTTTAAAGTGCTAGGATTATAGGCCTGCGCCATTGCACCCAGCCCAGTCTTGCTCATTTCTAATACTAGAGATTGCTCTGTTTCCAGGCATTTTGCCGCTCAGGCGTTCAGTAGCTGACACCTCTCAGCAGAACCAGACTCCCCCTCCTTTCCAGATCGACCGTGAGCTGAAGCTGCCTCCCACAAAAGGCAAATTCGGGGAGAGCGCTGGGCGGGATGGACCCTGGTGCCCGGGCGGGTCGTCTGGGCTCAGAC